GGGTGTGAGGGAGGGGCGGTGTGAGGGAGTTTCAGAGCAGACTCACGTTTCAGGGTTGCCTCCTGGAGGGTACAGGGTCTGGTCTGAGCAGCAGCTGTACCAACCTTCGAGAAGCTGACAGGCACCAGCTCCCCGCTAAACATGGACATTACAAATAATCAGTGTGATCACACTCACACTCACACTCACACTCACACTCACACTCACAATCCCGGAGCCAGTGCGCCTGTACCCCGTGCCCCAACACCCCATACCCCAGGGAGAGTCAGTATAACCCCCCCACCGTACCCCGGGGAGAGTCAGTGCGCCCCGTACACCGGGGAGGGAGAGTCAGTGTGCCCCGTACCCCAGGGGGATGAGTCAGTGCACCCTTATCTTGGGGAGAGTCGGTGATCCTCAGGAGGCCCAAACTCTGGTGGAGAGTGTTGTACCTTGTCTCCTAGGGAGACACATTGCTGATGGAGGCGTTGAACCTAAATATTGTTTAGTACCTGTGCTTCCACGTCCGAGTGGTTCAGATCATCTGTGCTGCCCGATATCATGGACCACGTTGGAGCAGACGTGTCACTTCCCAGCTCCTGAGATCGGACACAACAATGGCTTTCACCTACAACAGGCACACCCAGAGACAGAGAGAGAGAGAGAGACAGAGACAGAAAAAGTCAGCACGGCAGGTCATAGTTCTGCCCTGGGACGTGGCGGTGGCGGTGGCGGTGGCGGTGGCGGGGGGGGGGGGGGGAGCGGTGTAGAGCAATCTTTACTCTGTATCTAACCCCATGCTTTCCCTATCCCTGGGAGTGTTTGATTTGTTTGGGGGGTGGGTGTGGGAGACAGTGTAGAGGGAGCTTTACCCTGTATCGAACCCCATGCTGTCCCTGTCCCTGGGACTGTTTGATGGGGGGTGCGGTGGTGGACAGTGTAGAGCGAGCTTTACTCTGTATCTAATGTCCTTTAGGGAGGGAAACTGCCATCGTTACCTGGTCTGACCTACATGTGACTCCAGACCCACAGCAATGTGGTTGACTCTCAATTGCCCTCTGGGCAATTAGGGATTGGCAGTGTAGAGAGAGCTTTGCTCTGTGTCTAACCCTATGCTGTCCCTGTGGACAGTGTAGAGGAAGCTGTGCTCTGTGTCTAGCCCTGTGCTGTCCCTGTGGACAGCGTAGAAAGAGCTTTGCTCTGTGTCTAACCCTGTGCTGTCCCTGTGGACAGCTTAGAGGGAGCTTTGCTCTGTAGCTAACCCCTTACAGAGAGAGAGAGAGAGAGAGAGAGAATGTGTGTGTGAGACAGAGAGAGAGTGCGTGTGAGACACAGAAGGAGAGAGAGAGGGAGAGAGAGAGGGAGAGAGAGAGAGGGAGAGGTGTGTGAGACACAGAGGGGGAGTGAGAGAGAGTGTGTGTGTGAGACAGAGAGAGAGTGCGTGAGAGACACAGGGGGAGAGAGAGAGGGGGAGAGGGGGAGAGAGAGAGAGCGAGAGAGAGAGGGTGTGTGTGAGACACAGAAGGAGAGAGAGAGGGAGAGGGTGTATGTGAGACACAGAGAGAGAGGGTGCATGTGAGACACAGAGGGGGAGAGAGAGAGTGTGTGTGTGAGACAGAGAGAGAGTGCATGTGAGACACAGGGGGAGAGAGAGGGGAAGAGTGAGAGGGAGAGGGTGTGTGTGAGACACAGAAGGAGAGAGAGAGGGAGAGAGAGAGAGGGAGAGGGTGTGTGTGAGACACAGAGAGAGAGAGTGCGTGGGAGAGACAGAGGGAGAGACAGAGAGAGAGAGAGAGAGTGTGAGTGTGAGACAGAGAGAGAGGTTGTGTGTCAGACACAGGGGGAGAATGGGCTGTGTGTCTGTCACTGTGTACGTGGTAGTGAATTCACAATTAAGAGTAAAGTTGGTCATACCTGCAGTTTTACCCGACTGCTGCTGTGTAACTTGTTGAAGCTGCTCCCACTCCTGTTCCTGGAGCCATTCCTTTTCCTGCTCCCCCTCCAGCTCGAGTCCATGCTCCCACTCCTGTCTGTGCTCTGGGCTGTCTGCGAACCGTTCCAGTGCCTGTATACTGTTGATGAATCGCCTCTCCATACGCTGAAGGGAGCTGTTGGCCCACTCCAGCAGGCTGGCAGACTCCTGGATGCTGGTGGCACAGTGCAGGAAGGGGGCCTGAGGGCACTGGGTCATGGAGGAGCCAGGGGAGGGTGGGCGGAGGGCACCAGCCTTGGAACAGAAAAGATTAGACCCCCAGTCAAGGAATCAGAACCCAAAGCTGAGCAACACGAGCACAACACCTCCCCAACCACTCACACCCCAGAATAAACACACACACAAACTCCAGCTTCCACAAAACCCAGTACGGTGGCTCAGTGGCCAGGGACCAGGGTTCGATTCCACCCTCAGGCGACTGTCTGTGTGGAGTTTGCATGTTCTTCCTGTGTCTGTATGGGTTTCCTCCGGGTGCTCCGGTTTGCTCCCACTGTCCAAAGATGTGCAGGTTAGGGTGGATTGGCTGTGGGAAATTGTCCCGTAGTGCCCAGGGATGTGCAGGTTAGGGTGAGTTGGCCGTGGGAAATTGTGCCGTAGTGCCCAGGGATGTGCGGGTTAGGGTGGGTTGGCTGTGGGAAATTGTCCCGTAGTGCCCAGAGATGTGTGGGTTAGGGTGGGTTGGCCGTGGGAAATTGTCCCGCAGTGCCCAGTGCCCAGTGTCCGTGTCTCTCTCTCCTCTCCCTCTCCCCCAAGTCCCTGTCTCTCTCTCCCCGTCCATCCACTCCCTGTCTTCGACCCTCTCGCCAGTCCCTGTCTCTTTCTCTCCCTACTTGCCCCAGTGTCTCTCTCTCCCTCTCGCCCTTTCCTCACCATGATTCTGTGTTGCACTCTCTCTTGGGTAGCTGTGAGATGTTCTGGTCCTGCCTCCTGATCTGGGGGCGTGTCTTCACTGACAGACTCCAGGAGTAGGCTGCTGTTTGACTCCAGGTCGATCTCCCGGCCGTACCGCACACTGTAAACTCTCACTCTCTCCCCGTGGCTCTGTGCTCGCTGCTCCTTGCTGCTATCTTCCAAAAACACCGGGGCACACAGCTCACGGTCTGGAGCCCCACTCAACCTCACAGAGCTGGTCCTCATCCTCTCCAGTTCCTCAACTGGGCACATGCTCGCTCCCTCTCCCTGAGGGTGAGACAGATATCAGTGAACCAACAGTCAACCCACATTCCCCACATACTGGCCCCTCACCACACTGACTCGCCCCAGGTTACAGGGATGCTCTGACTATCCCCGGGGTATGGACTTGGGGGGGGACACTTGCTCTCCCTGGGGTACAGAGGGACACACCAACTCTCCCCGGTGTACAGGAGGCGTTGGACACCGACTCTCCCCGGGGTACGGCGTGGGGGGGGGGATCCGTACCCCCCCCTGGGGTGTGGCGTTGGGGGGGACACTGACTCTCCCTGGGGTACAGAGTAATGGGAGGGGGGGACACCGGCTCTCCCCAGGGTACGGAATTGGGGGAGACACTGACTCTCCCCGGGGTACGGAATTGGGGGGGGGGGGCCCCTCCCCCCCCCGGGGCACGGGACGGGGGGGGGGGACACTGCCTCGCCCCGGTGTATGGGGTGGGAGGCGGGGGGTAGATACTGACTCTCCCCGGGGTACAGGTCCCTCGCCCTGGTAGAGAGGGTCTGGGTGTGCATCCTTTTCTTGTTGTTCTCTGAAGCTGACCGTAGTGCTGTCTTACCGTCGGGTTACTGCCTGAATCTCGCTGCACAAGCTTTGCCCGAGTCTCCCTGTTGTGCTGGGCCGTGTGGGCTGGAGTGTCTGCACAAGCTGCTGCTGGGAGTCCCGTAGCATCCTGACCAGCAGCTTCCTGACTCACTGTAGAGTGGTAACTCTGACTGGAGCTGTGATCTACCTCATAGTAACACACACCTACGAGCAAACGGTGAGTGGATACATGAATGAAACTGGGAACAATCAAACTTAATTCTTAAACTAGAGCGGATGCAGATAAGATTTACCAGGATGTTGCTGGGGCCGGAGGGTTTGAGTTATAAGGAGAGGTTGGATAGGCTGGGACTACTTTCCCTGGAGCGTTGGAGGCTCAGGGGTGACCTTATAGAGGTTTAGAAAACCATGAGGGGCATGGATAGGGTACATAAGAACATAAGGGCATAAGAACTAACAGCAGGAGAAGTCCGTCCAGCCCTTCGAGCCTGCTCCGCCATTCAATAAGATCATGGCTGATCTTTTCGTGGACTCAGATGCATTTACCTGCGTTCTCACCGTATCCTTTAATTCCTTTATTGTTCAAAGAAAAAATCTACCTTATCTTTAAAAACGTTTACTGAAGTAGCGTCCACTACTTCACTGGGCAAGGAATTCCATAGATTAACAACTCTCTGGGTGAAGAAGTTCCTCCTCAATTCAGTCCTAAATCTGCTCCCTCTAATCTTGAGGCTATGCCCTCTTGTCCTAGCTTCACCTGCCAGTGGAAACATCCTCTCTACTTCTTTCTTATCTATTCCCTTCATAATTTTATATGTTTCTATAAGATCCCCCCCTCAATCTTCTGAATTCCAATGAATATAATCCCAATCTACTCAGTCTCTCCTCATAAGCCAACCCCCTCAACTCCGGAATCAACCTAGTGAACCTCCTTTGCACCCCCTCCAGAGCCAGTACATCCTTTCTCAAGTAAGGAGAACAAAACTGCACACAGTACTCTAGGTGTGGCCTCACCAGCACCTTGTACAGCTGCAACAGAACCTCCCCGCTTTTAATCTCAATCCCTTTAGCAATGAAGGACAAAATTCCATTTGCCTTCCTAATTACTTGTTGTACTTGCAGATCTACCTTCTGTGATTCATGTACAAGGACACCCAGGTCCCTCTGCATAGCAGCATGCTGCAACTTTTTACCATTCAAGTAATAATCCTTTTTACTATTACTCCTACCAAAATAGACAAGGTCTTTTCCCTAGGGTGGGGGAGTCCAGAACTAGAGGGGCACAGGTTTAAGGTGGAAGGGGGAAAGATTTAAAAGGGACCTAAGGGATAACTTTTCAAACAGAGGGTGGTGCCAGAGGAAGTGGTGGAGGCTGGTACAATTATAACATTTAAAAGGCATCTGGATGGGTACACGGGATAGGAAGGGTTTAGAGGGATAGGGGCCAAATGCAGGGAAACGGGACCAGATGAATTTGGGAAACTTGGTTGGCATAGACGAGTTGGAGTGAAGGAAGCATTCCATGCTGTATGACTCTATCATAGCTTAATGTGACCAGGAAACAGAGCAGGGGTGATTCAGCCCCCTCCTGGAGCCTGTTACACAGGAACAGGAGACCATTCAGCACCCCCCTCCTGGAGCCTGTTACACAGATCCCAGTGATTTCTGTTCCCCAGTTTGAGTGCAGGTGGTGGGGTGAAGGATAGACTCTCTGTCTCTCACCGTCACTCTGACGACTGTCCAGGGGTGCCTCCGCTGACTGGCAGGAGAGGTGCCTGGGGTCCAGTCCATCGACACAGTCCAGGGGCTTTTCCCGAAGCTCTGGAGACATTCGATCCTGCTTACTGCCCAGCCTGACAACTCCTGACCCACAGCTCAGGCTCGTTCTGCAGACTCCAGCTTCCAGACTCAGCCCCAGGCCCTATGGGGAAGGTAGGAAGCAAAAGGGTGAGTGTCAGCAGAGTGGTCCCCCAGTGCTGACTCCCTGAGCAAACAGACTGACATGCACCCCCTCACACCAATCCCCTCACTCTCACACACACTCACCCTCAGCCTCACATCAACCCCCTCACTCTCACATACACACACTCACCATCTCCCTCTCATGTGTACTCACACTCACACTCACCCTCACCCTGCTCTCGCACGCCCTCACACCAACCCCCTCATCTCATACACACTCACCATCTCCCTCCTGTATGTACTCACTCTCACCCTCACCCCGCTCTCCCGCTCCCTCACCCTCACCCTGATATGCTCTCTCACACACACACACACACACAGAGTCCTGACACTGAACCTCTCTCAGAGCTACACAGTGCTTACCTGGAGCTGTGTGCGGAGTATGTAGCGGATATCTTGCAAGTTGAGGGTACGATCACGCTGTCTCAAACAGAGACCAGTCTGCACGATGCCATGAAAGGCAGGGGGAAGGCGGGGATCGAGGGTCAGTGATCGACCTGACAGCATCAACTCTTTCACCATCAGCCCATCCAGGCCACACCAGGGCAGTATCTCTGAAACACAAACCCAACTAATCACACTCCATTAGAAATTCAACACACACTCCAACTAGCTCCCTAAAGGTGCACTCTCCCCAGGGTAAGGGGGTGGAGGGCACCCACTCTCCCCGGGGTACGGGGGAGGGAGCTCCCACTCTCCCCGGGGTACGGGGGGGG